ACAAAAGCTGCCTGTAAGAATTGTAAATGCTTTCAAGTTTATGAACTTACAGGGATGCGCATGTCAGAATTTTGCAAAAGTCACGTGCTTATCCGCATTTTATTGCAGCTTATTGACGGAAACTGAAAAAACAAGTTAGAACCTGATGGAGGTCGAAGTAATAAAACATTTCTGTTTTTTAATGAACTGAGGCGAAGTTTGGCATTTTAGCTGTATGAAATATGTGTGTTTGATCGCCGGAATTAAGGTTTTAATCCGCTGAACCTCCCAACTCTTACTGTGATCAAACACCAGATATAAAAACGGTCTAAACAAACAGGAGCTGTAAGGGGTAGGCTCTATTCATACACCATCAGCGTCAGTCCTGAGGAGAGTGTGCAGATTTCTGTATGCCGCAGATGCCAGATCGATATGTCGATTGATTGCTTTCTCATCGGAGTTCCGGGATAAAATTCTTCTTTCTATAAATATTCTGTGGTTAATCCTACCACTATAACATGCTTACATAAATATTGCTATAGGAGCCTTGTGCAGTCAATAAATCAAGTTTTAGTCCAGCGACGACAACTTCGACAACTCCTTTTTGTTTATGTTAATATCTTTACTTCTAGAAATACATATACGTATGGACAATAAAAGGGAATTTACAAACTACCAAGAATAGTTACCCTTCCTACAAAGATTGCGTCTTGCTTTGCACCGTTGCATGGCGAAGGCAACATCTGAAAAAAAATTAAAATTGAAAGGGTACTTTTCATGTTGGAAACATTTTGGGCATATAATCGATAAAGTTTCAGGAATTGCTTCAAGTACCTTATTTAAAATCAATAAAGTCATCTTCAATAAATGTCCCATAGAATGAGGAATAGTTTTGCCTGAGACACAGTGTCTTAAATGTTCCCCTGTTGGCTTCCTATAATTCTGAGAAAAACGGAACAGTGTTTGTCCCCTTAGGTGATCGGAGTTGTGAGGACTATTTTCACACAGCGGAAAAAAATGTAAAGTAACAATTCACACTGCTTAACCAATAGGCAATCCGTTTTCCCTGACAGGAGCCATACCGGTTCATACTTAATCGCCTGATGTATGCGTTTTTCAGGCTAATTTTTTTAACTTTAAAATCCATTGTTTTTAAGATAAAACGCACAAAACAGATTTAAATTCCCCAACTCATCACCCTATAATTACTGTCTAACTCAAAAAGGTACCAATGGCTCTCTTGAGGACGTTAATGCGGCCAATAGTTCACAATGTTAGCCTTAATACCTTAGTCTGTTATCCTATACTTTTCCTTCTTTATTTAAAATTCCCAGGCTTCTGACGCCTACATACACGTATGCACTTTTTATATTTTCATCGTTGTCAATAAAAGCGAACATGCGGGTCGAAGAAAGGAAGTATGTAGACATGACGGGTGGGATAAGAATTTTATTTGCCAAACTTTTCGGAATCCGTCCGGCATCCTTCACCAGAGATAATAGAAGAAACATGTAATTCATGAACAGGGAGTCGTCGTATAAATAGGATACAGTCACTTAGCCACTGCACAGTTATGACAATTAACGACTTCCCTGTCGAAGAAAATTGTCTGTTGTCGTGCTAGTGGCTTAAGGGCCGGCGTGTCGGCCCTGACCTGCTGAACCTTCATCGGACGCGGGGAACTTTACGTGATTCCTGCTAGCCCATCTGACTCCCTGGCGCTGGTCCCATACGTACCCCAAGTAGCAAAACGCATTGAGCAAATTAAACCTCAGCGCTGAATATGGACTGGGTAAGTCATTACACCTTTTTATAGACTGGAGGCCCACGAACCATGACTTAAGTAACTGACGATTCAAACGATTTTCAGCCCTCGCGTGAATTTCGGCCTCATCAAATTTTATTGTGTGGCTGGGTTATGTCGAATGAGCCACAACTGCAGAATTGGCGTCATTTTAGCGCCTTGCTGCCACGTGTTCGGTACGTCGTCGCTTGAGATGTCTTCAAGATTCCCCGACGTAGCGGCTTTTTCCGCAACTGCCCCAGGTCCTGTGGAAGACTTTTAATGTTTTCTGCCGCGACAGTGGGTCTTTTGGTTTCATTGTCTGATGTCCTATGGTGAATGGCCTCCGATACTTTTTGTGACGTACGAAATCACTTTTTAAAATGCGAAATTGGTGCGATTTTGTTGCTCATCTCGTTTGTGCATGCACGGCTTGACGAAGTTGTGCGTGTAACCATTTTCTCTATACATCCGTCGAAGATATTATTTTTCTGAAACTTTGACTTCCCATTTATTCCAGGGTGTTTCAAGACTCCAATAAAGCGTCCTCACTCAACGGGGTTTGTGACGGATTAGGTGAGTGCTATTGAAGGTCATTACTTGCGTCGTATTTGTTAGTTTCCTTAGCACTTCGGTCTTAAGGCTACTACAAGGACATCATCGTTTGTGGCTTTGAATTATCCCTTGGTTGCATAGCTTTGATTTGCAGCACCGCATAGGCCAAAAAGACAGTGTCGAAACAGTCTTGTCAGGCAGAGCTACGTGCGGCTTCTACCTGTCACTTAATTGGATATCACATGTCTTCTTTGGTGTGCTTAGTATCGATTTTAAGACATTGATGAGATTGGAAAGAACCTAAATATAAAGCTGCTTCATAATTCATTTACGTTTCACATCGGAAGGGATACAGTTAAATTTATTTCCACAAACCATTCACTGATTATAATTTATATCTAGTTCAGCAAATCTAATGAGACTTACGTTTTCGTTAGTTAAGAAGGGTTAGGTATACGCCTGGGCCTAATATACATGGTAAACTGCGATATGTGTTTAGAAGGTTTATTATTTCATAGTTACGAATTTTATTAAGGCCTTAGTTGATTCGCTGTGATTTTTTTATTCAAATACCTTATGTTTATTGAAAGTTGCGTTTTGTTATTTTTTATTATCACCCTTAGTTTGAACCTCAGCGGACTGTAGACGATCTGGGTGGATGTGTCTGTTTTTTCAACCTTATCGGCGGACGCTGCAATCTACAAGGAAGTATCAGGCCGAATCTTTCGCACTTGGTGATGATTCTGGTGACCTTTGCAGTACCCCTGTTGGACCCTTCCCCAAGAGAAGCGTTTTGTTCTCCTAAACCTCACACTTCCCTCCGACACAACCGACTTTTTTTCGCTTAAAAAATCCTTAGGAGTATTTTCACTGTCTGCTAAATCTTTTCTAAAGACAACTATGTACCAACTCATGGCTGAGGACAATTGGCCTGGCCAATAAAGTGAAATACAATTTTTCTGCTACTACGACACACACGTACAAGTAGGGAACTCAAAAGCAATCTACCTACATATCCCTTAATAAACTGATACTGATATGCTCAATTCTGTTTTCCCATATAGGGCTGGAAGAATATGTGTTGGCGGAATTTGTATTATCTTTCATGCGCCTATTGTACTTCGTTGAGGCTCTAATTGTTAAAACCTCTGATAACACAGTTCCGGTTTTCACGATCCTGGGAATAGTAATTGCTGCGGAAACCTACACAACCTAACGTCGCCGCTGACGTTTTGGGTAGTTGCACGGGTCTGATGAGAACCCTACGAAAACTTAACGCACATACTGAATCAGACTAACGCTTCACATGAGAGTCACACTCACTTTTCTTTGAGAAAACAACGTCATTCTAACGACAGCCTGCCACATGACCGCTATGGGCTCTTTGATCGCAGCTCATGTGATGCAATAGTTCTCACGTTCGCCCTCTAGCTCGCTCTGTGGCACTCTGCAGGTGACTCATCTTACCCGCGTGCGAATTGCCGGTACAAACAGAGAGAACGGCAGGGTGAAAAATTTCAGCTTAGCCTGCGAGCAGCGCCCTTTAACTACGCACTGGCACCTCGGCTAATACAATTATCGAACCCGCTGCAGGCAGGCCTTATTCGCTCGAGCTGACACAGGTTAAATTATGTTAGCTTTTGGTGTGAGACAGAAATAATATTTTGAGTCACCATCAGCCTAGAGGTTAGGTCTCCCAGCAAGTTCTCAGGCTTTGAGGGGACTGAAGAAAGGGAACTATTGATTGGCGCATGTGGCAAGACCCCGCACTACTGTATGCGCTAAGGATGGTGCAACTTTCATGAGGAAATTTGACGTGGTACTTTAGCTTATATTTGGATATATTATTTTGATTCATTGCGTGGATACAATTCTGCGAAAGGCTATTGGTTGGGGAAATTACCATTCTAGTTAGGTTTATTAAGGGAAATGGGCATTAATTTTGGCGAAATTAGGAGTGGTCTCGTATCGAAGGAATTTCCTATTAATGATGTTATTAATTATTATTTACTTATAAATGTTGATTATACTGCGGAGAAAGGCCAACATAAGTGAATTAGGTATAGAAGGTATCTCTTCCAGAACTAGAAAATTTCGTCCGAAATTGTTCAGATTCAGGTGAAGCCAAGTTGAGGGAATCGCATTTATTTTCAGACACATGGAACGACTTATGTCTTAAAAATAATTTTCAGCTAACGTGTGAAGTTTTTCGCACAAAATGCCGTCACAAAAGGTTTTATCGCATTTTGCTTAAACCGCATCGCTCAGCTTGGCGAATGAGCAAATTTCCGAAACCACATCTACACAATACGATACTCGTCGCTTTTAATAGTCAGTTTAGACTTTGCCCTATTTTGGATAGCATAGCATTAAGTCAATCCACTGGTTCGGATACAGTGAGCTGTCTGTCCAAACAGGATGTATTGAAAATGTTAGTCCACCAGATAACTCTGTCTTGGCATAAATCACGCACATGTACACACTCCATTCAGATGAATCTAAATCGGTAAATTTTATTTGTAATGGTTACTGACTTCAATCTCACCCAAGACTTAAGTTTATAATGCGGCATTCCAATTGGATTTACGAGCAGAAAAGATGTGTTGGCAGTGTATTGGGTGTTAAAATTATATTTTATTTTAATCCGATACAGAAGCTGTCAAAAAAAATCTTCAGAATGTTTTTAACCGAAGCGGAACATTAGGAAAGACTTTCCCTTGTACTCGACGCAGGCAAAGCCGAGTGGTTCATGTTCGAAGTGACTAAAAGACAAGAAAAGACAAATTACAGAGTCAGAGAGCGAGACAAATCTTAAAGAAACTTAGCTAAACAACGCACATGGAATAACCTTAGGACAAACGATTTTATAAAATCTATATCCGCAAAAGCTAGCTTTCCATCTCCTCATTCATAACACAAACACACACTTAGTTAATAACAAATCACTATCGGCAACAGTAGGCCATTAGCTGGACAACCTTCGAATTCGTGCTCCTTTTAGGTTTAAAAATATTCAATTATCAAGTGATAATATAATATCCAGATTTGTAGGAAGTGAACTCAGATATAAAAGCGAAGAAGAAACTCGACGGCCTCTTCTCTCAATTCGCGTACGTTATTAAATAGATTATTAGCATTTTCTAACTCAGTTATATGGAAAATAAAAAGTTCGATCAGGGAGTCTCAGTAGGCTATGCAGTATTTTTTTCTTTTAAGGAATGTTGGCGGCTTACAACGTGATCAAATCTAAATGTTAAGCGAATTCGCCTTCCCGATTATATTGTGCTCAAGGAATGATGTCCAGCGTAATGGCATTGACCAGTTTTAGTAATTAGCGTCTTCAACTAGTCTTCATGAACCGCCGGTTTCGGGAAGCCCCTGAGATAAAAGTCTAGGTTCTGTTGACTTATTAGTGTCAATAACTCTGATGCGCTGGCCGGTATACCATAGGTTCGTTAGCCCGTCGGTTTTTAGAGGTATATATATGTATCAAGTGGGTCCGACAAAGCAAAGGAGACTGGAATGGCCATTTCTAGCGTATTTGTCGTCATTAGCCAGTCATATCCAATCTCGAGGATTGGCACCACCGAGATTTAAACCCGGGACCTTCGGTCATTGTATTTAAGACACTACCTGTAGTCTATGGGCTCCCTTGATCGGTTCCTTGACTAGATCCGTGAAATACCTACATTAATTCCTCATATTCCCGATCATAACCAACAAAGCAGGGAACCGGTAGAATAGATGATGAACGCGATATATACATATATGTATACAAATATATACATATAGCCTTTACACATTACCAATTTCTAACCCAAGAAACTCTCCTCAGTAGTTAGCTATAGTTTCTACCAATGCCGAGATGACTATAAAATCCTACGTTTCTGCAAGTATTTTAGAAACGAAATCTTTTTAAATGTTAACAAACGTGCATGCTAAAAAATAACAATCACGAAGTGTAGGGAGATTTAATGGCCTATAATGTACCCAGTAGTGAAACACATTATTTGACAATATTTTCAGTTAGCATAACAAACTGCCTTAGATATCACCACATTCCTTCATTCCTCATTTACCTAATTCGGCAGGTACCTCCCTTGAGTTTGCCGTGTCATCTCAAAATAATACGTGGGTCTCTACTATGTAATGAAAACGATAAAAAATCTGAAGAATACAACGTCTACTCTCTGCTTTAGCCAGTTAAGCCCTTGTTAGACTTCTTTAAGCCCATAGTTTTAACATGATTCTGCCTAAGATAGCGAGGCCTGTCCGAAAGTAATCGTAGGTTGGCATTCAACTTACGCTGCCTAAACTTAGACTCGGATAATCAATCAGTCGGCGCTTCAAGGTAGGTCTCAATTGGTGAACTATTATCGATTTCAGAATGCTCCTGCAACTAACAATGTAGAAATTAAACAAACAATTGATGGGTGGGGGGAACTTTCCCTTCCAATAAATTGATAAAAAAGCTAAGACACCGGGCCGTTATGGACAAGATAGGAAAATAAAACTGACCTGCCAAAGGCTTCGCCAACCACCACATGCCACTGTGGGCCGAACTTTTTGTCTAGGCATTGCTTTATAGCTGAGCAGAGTTCCACTTCGGTGTCATAAATGGCGGAGGCGCGATACACCACCTCCAGGAAGAAAGAATCCAATTTCTCGTTGAGGTCCTTGCGGACGAAGTGAGGTTTCTCGCTAGAGGGATCTACTTTCGGCGGCAGACATACGCAGGTTGGCTTTGCTACTTGCATCGTGTGCTTACGGGTGTGTGCAGTGGTAGTCGATGAACCGCTGACTGTCACATCAGGTCTGTATTTTCACAACACATATATTTACTTTGAAGTTAACCGAAGGCTGAGTTTATCATCACTTCTCGTCGTCCGAATATGATTGGCTGAAAGCGGACTTTTGGCATCCGTATAGCTCTATCTTTAATGTTGTACTTTAGGTAAGAAGCCCAAACTTAACATCGATGAGCGCAGGGTGGGTATTCGTTGCATGACTTCTAAGCTTTTAGACCTCACAACGGCGCCTTCGAAACCCCACTTAAATTACGTTAAGTGGAGGGGGAGGATGGCGTTAATACGTCACCCTGTCTATGTAATCGTCTGATGCTAAAACAGCTGAGTAAATGCAATTCATCGTCGAACTGACTATTGCGTTTTTCAGTAAATATAACTCAGTAAATATCTATCTGAACAGGCATTTTCTTGGAGTCCTAAAAAGCATTAGCCGCCAAGGTCGCTGTAAAGCCCTGAACCCCCAGTTGCGCACACTTCGAGTAGACAGAGCTAGAAACAACGTAGTCCCTGAGATGACTGAGAATTTACACTTGTGCATGAAAAAGGAAGTGTAGAAGCAACTGAACATCATCATCCTATAGTTTCTTTGCAGCAGACATTGCAAACTGGTGCAAAGGACGTGTTAATCGTTTAGTAAACATCGAGACAGGATGGTTTCTGGTAGCTCTGAACTTCCGGCATGCTTGCTAACGCTATGGGAGGCAGATTTAACTGCAAGCCTATACGGACGTGTCAACTCACAGTTAATGAGTCACAGTTTTCGGTCGCGGAGGCTAATTCTTCTTTTTCTAACCTTAATTACCTTTAATCTTCGTACAAGGTTACATGTCATGTCGTTAACTCGTACTGTGGTCTTCTAAGTGTGACACAGCTAATTAATATTGCTAACGACACCTCTTCTTATCAGAATCATACGGTAATGGTGATAATAAAAACCAAACAAATGATTAAGGTTTCTCAGTGGCAAGGAGTGCATGCGATGGATCACAGAATAGTGACGTTCCGCCACACGGTGGAAATGGCGGCTAATTAAGCACTTGTGATGCCAGCTTACACCAAAGCTACTTTTTCACAAGTCATAATGTGTGCTAATATTCGTGGGAATATTGGATCGCTTTCGGCATGCAGCTCTCCATCCATCAGAGGTCCGGCTCTAGCCCTATGATTGAATATCAGCAGGAAAATTACAGCTTTGTGGGGACAGTGTACGACATTGAGAGTAACGAAAGCCCACATAAACTTAAACTCACACAAAAAGGTTGGGTTACCACATCTATGCATTCAGGCAGGGGCCCTTTCTTATGTAGAAGTTAGATTTTGACAGACAGTTTTAGTGGACCTTAGTATCAAGGTAATCGTCCGCGCAGTTCGAAGGAAGCCAAAAATAAAATTTCAATGGCTAATCGTTTAGGGGGGCAGGGGATTGTTGGCAGATTTGAAAAACTAATTGGACCTTAATGTGGAAAAGGCAATGGCCACTGCGGGGTTCAAACGCACACAATTAATGTCGCGCCGGAAGCCGTGGGCTTAATCACGTTTGCGTAGATTTATCTACCTAGCCATCTGTAACATCGCACTTCCGTTAATTTGGATGCAATAAGCGAACTGCCAGATTTCATGAAACATCAATCTAGAATCCACGACATAAGTTAGTCTTCGTAGAAATCGCGCAATTACGCAAAGGAAGGGCAGCATGGGGCAGAATGTACAGTGTATAGTCCTACAAACTTAGGTGTGGCCACCTCGCTTTGACTACGGGGTAAAAGTGAAACAATCAGCTATGAAGTGGACCGAAAAAGACAGTGGAGACCGGAATGGCCATTTCTGGCTTGTTGGCCTTCATCAGCCAGTCATACCCAATATCAGGTGTCGGAATCTCCGAGATTCAAACCCGGAACATTTGGTCATTGAGTTTGTCACTCTATCGCGGCCCCACGGGTTCGTTGCTTTGTAGGTCGTGATCGTGAATATGATAGAACAAGGGTGTTTATCAGGTCAAGGCACTTTGGGGGGTAGGTATATGCCCTAACCAGATAGATCGGGTAAACCCCCACATCCATCATATTACCGATCACAACGGACAAAGCAGCGAGCACGTAGAGTGACAAACTCAATAATCAAATATCCTGGGTTCAACTCACGGGGTTCAGAAACTTGAGATTGGGTATGACTGGCTGATGACGGCTAGCAAGCCAGAAAAGGTCATTCCGTCTCCCTTTGATTTTTTTCGGACCCATTCCACATATATAAATATATATTGAGTGAATAGGATAAGCGAGACCCTTATATCACTCAAGAACGAGCATCAGGGCAATTCCGGGACAAGCATATGATCTAAC